GGACTGTTTTCCCTAACCCTTCTGGGTGGTTCCTTCCCGGCCTTAGGGCAGCCTCATTGCTCATGGGTGCCGATCAGCACTCAGTAAGGACTCAAGAGGGACTCTCTGAAGTGCTGCAGGGCTGTCTCCCCCTGGGACGCATCCTCCTCTTCCATACTCTGCCTGGGAACCCCAGTGACTGTGGTCTCCCCAGCACCCAGCTCTACCTCCTCAACTCCAGGACATTACTGGGTTCCACCTGGGTTAGCCCTCCCCAACCGGAATCCAGAAACTCCGCAGGAGGTAAAGGCGAGAAAGCTGTAGGACAACACCTACTTTTTCAGCATCTGGAAATCACTTCCCTGCACTGCCTGTGCGCCCTGGGATGTCCAATGTATGGAAAACATTGTTTCATATGCCTTGTTTGTTTCCATTCCATTGTTTCAAGCAGCAGGAGAAATCTGCTCCCTGTTATTCCAATGTGGCTAAAAGTAGAGCCTCCTAAAGACACAGTTTTAAGTGAGAAAAACAAAGTTATTATCAAAAAATATTTATGGTTCTAATCCAATTATAACAGCTTTTTAAAATGGTACCTGTATAGTGCAATATAATACAGTACCATGCATTATTCATGGATAATAATAGTAACACACGCAGTACCTTCCCAGCGCTAGGCACTACTGTAAGTGCTTTGCTTGCTGTATTTCCTTTTTGGGGAGAGACAAAATTGGAACGCAGAGACAAATTTGTTTTCAAGCTTTGTCAGATGGGCTCAGAGATGCCTTTCTCCTAAGCTGATTTTCTCCCCACTACTAAGTGCTCAAGGTCAAGGTCACACAGCTAAACAGTGGGAAGATTGGACTTTAGCCCAGGGAGTCCAGATCCTGAGTCTACACCCTTAACCACCATGCTCCTAGGTGATTAGAACATGGGTGGGTGGGACACACACCAATTTCAAATCCTCTGAGAAGAGAGGAAGGAAATGAGCTATTGATGCGGGGGACGGAGATGGGGCTTCAGCTGTGTTCACCTAAAGTGTGCTCACGCCTCCCTCCTAAAAAACAGCCTGAAGCCATCACAGGAGAAGGAGGTTAACATTCGTTCTGTCGGAGAGAGGAGCTTATGGACTTTCGTTCTTTAAAATATGAGTGTCTTATAACATCAAAACAGCATCCCATGGATAGAAGAGAGAGAAGAGATGAAGAATCACAGCAAGGTATGACACCACTAGCTTCACGGTAACCTTGATGTTTGCACAGCAAAACATCAAGTGGAATTCGCGTTGCTCTGATGAGGGGTTCTCTTCAACCCCATGTCTGATCCTTCTTGGTGCCTCACTCCAGATCCAGCTCACACATGTTAATACAAGTTAGCAGGAGTGTATTTTGGTGCAAAATAATTTGAGGTCTGGGCACAGATTTTTCATCGTAACACTTTCCATGAACTTTTGGAAGATCCTTCACCTTCATCCTTCTGTGACGTTTATTTCACTTAGCACACTGTCATCCAGGTTCCTCCATTTTCATCATAAACACCAGATTTTCCTTCCTATACACCTAATTAGTCTCCCACTGTATGTATTATGTATATTTTCTTTATCCATTCCTCTCTCCATGTTGATTTATATCCTAAAGAATAAATAGGGGCTTTCTAGCCGCAGAGTTGGCAAAAGTGGTGGACCACAGGGGACAGGTCAGACAAGGAAACTGTGTCCCATGGCATGGACAACTGATGAGGCACCCCATGCCAAGAGAACAGAAGACGGTGTGGGTGCCAGGAGCTGGGTCTCAAGAGTTGCACAGAATCCAGGCTGGAAGGGAATATGGCACACCTGATAGGCTCACTTGCTGTTACCATACACCAGAAGGTTGTACTGGGGTCACAGGCATCAGGGAACAGCCCCATCCCCAGGGAATGCCCAACATTCACACATCCCAGAGGCCATCACCAGCATTCTCATTCACAAAGTAACCAACCCCCCTCCATCTCAAGCTACCCAGGAGCCTTCTCATTTCTCTGCAAACTTCAAGAATACAAAGACATGCCAGAGAATAGTCTTCCATCCAGGCCCCCAGGAGGGAGTAGAACCCACTCAAGGAGCTGTGATCTCCTGGTTCCCATCATCCACCGGCTTCCAGCTGAACACTGCTCCAAAGTAGCCCTCATCAGAGAAGCCTGCCTGGGCTGCTATTTTAAAGAAAAATCCCCTCCCGTCCTTACCCAATCTGGGACTCTCGGGTCCTCCTCCACCCCCACCCCTAGCATTATCTTATCTTTCTCCACCTCTGACCATCACCTACCAGAGTATCTATTTATTTTTCTGCCCTTTAATCCAACTGGAATGTAAGCACCAGAGGGTCAAGGACTCTGGATTTTGTTCACTGTTCTACCAGCAATGGCTAGAACAGGGCCTGACACTTGCTGTGTTTCCGACAAGTCTTTGTTCAATGAATGAAAGCATGTGCAGTGACCCAAGACAAGCCAGCAGGTTACTGGAGTTTAAGATGAGCAAGAACTTCATAAAGTGCCATCCTCACGTAGGACAAAAGAAGAAATATTACAACAGGACTCATGAGGCATCAGGTCCACGCTGGTGGTACCTTGGGTGGTCAGGGCAGCTACTGTTTCATCCATCACCCTCGGACAGCCACCCTGGCGCTCCCTGGGTCTACTCCAGCATACTTTTGGGGGTGAGAGGGTGACCTCACTTCTCCAGTTAGCACACCTATATCTTTGTTCGTAGAGATGACTTTGTTTGGACACATGATCCAATGGCAGCAATACGAGTCAGCCTCACGCCTTTTGCCAAAGCAGAAGTAAAAAGTAAGACCACTCCTGCCCACCCCCTCACCCCACCAGGCGCACTGCTAGCAGCAAAGATGACGGTTCCTGGGGCTGGTGGAGTCATTACCTGATTCTGAGAATAAAGCCAGTAGCGGGAGATCAAGTGGCCAGCCAGAGTCCTTCCCGGGATCCATGCCTGAAGGTGCTGGACATTTCATTAATGCAAATCAACACATTCCCCTTCACTGATGAACTATTTTGCACGAGGTTTCTGTCTCTGACAACTGAAAACACCCTGACCAGCAGGTTGGAGGTATAGAAGAACAAATAAGGAAACACGTTCCTACAGCTCTTAAACACCTCAAAGCAAAGACCAGCTTCAGGCAATGCCATCTAGAAATGCAATCTAACACCTTTTGGTGAAACCCATTGCCTGTCACCTTGGCACATAGGACAGAGGCCCAGAAGAAGGATATTAGCTATTTATTTTTACTTTTTATTTGTTTATTTATTTATCTTGGGAGGCAGAGAGACAGAGAGAGCTCCCATCCCCTGGATCACTCCCCAAATGCCCACAACAGCCCCCACCCCTAGGAGCCAGGAACTCAGTGTAGGTATCCCACGTGGGTGGCAGAGCCATGCCACATCAGCTGGAAGCTGGAACTGTGAGGAGCCAGCATTGGAACCCGGCTACTCTCCCGCGGCACGTGGGCACCCCAGGTGGCGTCTTCACCACGGTGCCAAACTCCTGGGCCACTCATTTCATTTATTTATTTTTTGTTTGAATTTACATTTTGGGAATACGCTCAGCAACCCTGTCTCAGGTACCTTAACATCTCAGTATCTCGCCACTGTAGGAGCAGCGATGAAACAGAATTTAACCTCTCTGCAAAGAAGGAAAGAGCAGGTGACGTGGCTAAAGGAGCCCTGAACCAGGAGTCTGGGAATCTGGCTTCGCATCGTGAGCACTCACTAGCACATCATCCTGCCTCTCTTGGTCTCCTGACTACACCGATCACAAGCACCCACAGCAGTGTGGAACAGAAAGCCCACTAACACAGGGTCCTCTTTCTCCGCAGGGGTCCAGGCCCCCAGAAAAATACACATGTGCACAAACACACAATTCTGCATGGAGTTTAGAAGTGTAGGAGCCGATCTGTATCTCTAACCTCCCTCCTCTACAGTAACCAGGACATCATTTTCTGTTCTGTGACAGGGAGCTTACTCTCACTTGCAGTCCATTTTACTACACTGAGCTGTGCAAGCAACATCAGCCCTTCTCCATCTTGAACCAAGTTCTGCACACCATCATTTCTACCCACTGGCCCAACTTCCCCACAGCAAATTGGGGAAGTCCAGCTCTCTCCTGTATATAACTCTTCATCTCACTCAAGATCGAGTCTAACTTTTTTTTTTTAAGAATTATTTTATTTATTTGAAAGACAGGGTAACAGAGAGAGTAGAGCCAGAGAGAGGTTCTCCATTCTGCTGGGTCACTCCCCAAATGACCGCAAAGGCCAGAGCTGAGCTGAGCTGAAGCCAGGAGCCAGGAGCTTCTTCCAGGTCTCCCACATGGGCGCAGGAGCCCAGGAACTTGGGCTATCTTCTACTGCTTTCCCAGTCTATAGCAGAGAGCTGGATAGGAAGTGGAGCAGCGGGACTCAACCGGCAGCGCCCATATGGGATGCCAGTGCTGCAGGCTGGGGCTTTATAGGAAGGAACGTGGGTGATTAGCAATGCAAATTGCTATTTCACAGTGCTCTGTTACAAAGATAGGTCCACTTCACTCCAGGTATGCCAAACATGCAAATACAGATGCTAAAATTCCAAACAGGCACCAGGACTATTAATCTGCATGGATCAGGGCTTGCAAAGGGGGGTTACCGCTGCATTAAAATATCTTGAAAGAAACCGCATAGGCCTTTGGGAAAAGCACTGCATTAACTCCCATTCCAACTACCTGGGCGTTGCTAGAAAAGTCACTCAACCTCTCTGAGCCTGTTTGTCCTGCACAACGCGACAGAACCGATCTCACGGGGATGCACTGAAGACCAAACGGTATATTATTCGTAATTCCAGCCCTAGCCTGGCACAGGGCAAATTCTCAGTGAAGACCAGCTTCGAGCTCTGCGAGCTCAGAGTTTCATTCGATGCGCTCGGCGCTCTGTCTCGAGCGGGATTCCCCCGGAGCCGGAGTCTGCGCTCTGGGCTCGACTGAGGCTCCCTGGCTGCTCGCGCTTTTCTCTCCTTGTCCAAGATGGCGGTGGTCGGCGGCACTGAGGCGGGATCCGAGCGAGCCCAGTGAAGGTAGCGGCGAACGGAGCCCCCACGAGGGCGGGCCGGGCGCCCACCCCGAGGCCACAGCGGCCCCGCCCTGTCGCCACCCGCCGCCCTGGGCCCGCGACACCGCCGCGGGGGCGCCCCAGGCCCGTCGAGGCCTAGCCCAAGGGCCGAGCCGGGGACTGGAGTAGCGGCCGCGGCCGCCCCCGGGAAGGGGCTGGAGCGGGCCGAAGGAGGAGGGCGGGCGGGAGCTGTTCAAACGGGGAAGGCGGGAAAGCTGCGGGGCCGGGAGGGGGCGTGCGGCCGCCCCGGGGGCTGCGGGCCGGGGCCGCCCCTCCCCCTGCGCGGGCCGTCTCCGCCCTCGGGGGCGCCGGGAGGCCGCCGGGGCCGCGGGAGCCCGCGCCGGGGCCCGGCTGCAGCGCGGGAGCGGGCGGCGGGGGTCCCCGGGGCTGTCAGGTGGACGGGGCCCCGCGGCCGGGGCGGCGGGAGGGCTGGGTCCTCGGCTGGCAGGAGAGGATGCGAGGCGCTTTCTTCTTTTCCTCTTCGCAGAGCTTTGTTGAACTAGCTGTCGCTGCAAAACCTGCCGGGAGAGTCCCGTTGGTTTGCCGTGGGGCCCGCAAAAACAGTGGTCCCGGGGGCTGTTGGTCTAAATCACCGGGTATTGCGTGTGTCCCGTGCGTGCGCCCGCTACGATCGCGCCTCCGTAGGGGGAGTCTCCTCCACACAGGCCCATTTTCCCTCCACAACTACTTGTAGATTCACTGCAAAAAAAAATTTTTTTTTTTTTACTATCATGCAAAAGAAAAAGATCTGCCTCCCTCCTTTCTGTTGGCTGAGTTGGTGGCTCATAGCAGAATAAGTTAAAAAAAAAAAAAAAAGCTGACTCGAGATCGGACCCAGAGCCTGTTGATCGGAGGAGGCTTGTCAGAATTTGCATTGCTGGTGTGTGGTCAGCGTGCGGTGACCGCCATGGGAGGATTCAGTGCCCATCCCAGGCTGCCGCCATCCCTGCAGCTTCCAGAGCTGGCAGGGGCTGTGAGTGCTGCATAGGTAGGTCCCTGGACAAGGCGGGAGCCCAGAATTCAGAGTCGACGTGTTGGGACCTTGGAGGAAACATGAAAAGCAGAAGACGTCACCTGCTCGGATCCTAGGAGTGGCAGCAGCAAAACTTCAGAAACTGGCAAGAGCTGGAAGTGGGTCTGCCTCCACCGTCTGAGGAGAGAGCCTGGGAGTAGGGGCGAGGCGCCCTCACCCTGGACAGGACCGCTTCCTGGGGTTTCACTGGCTGCCGCTGTACATGGCTTCCTTGAATCGTCTTTGTCAATGCTCATTTATACTCTGGGATGAAGATGGTTAGAGATGCCTGGGGCTCGTATCACCTCAGAACTCACCTCCAAAGCGTCTCCAGTATTTGTGGCTTGAGTTTCCGGGATAAAGAACACTACATCTGATGATTTTCCCTTTTCCCTCGTTCCCTTGGCCATGCTGAAAGCCCGTGCCTGGATGTAGCCTGTATTATCTACAAGTGGAAGAGCGCCCTGGCTGCCCTTGTTCATATCCTAAAGAAAAGTCCCAGGAGAGCGGTTTAGTCATGAGCACATTTCACCAGTGTGCATGTTTTTGGTTTTTTCTTATCATGGCTTGTGTCTTCCATAAGCAATATTAAAGAAGGAACTTATGTTGTCATTTCTTAGCACACCGAGACAAGCAAAATTGTACAATTCATCCCCTCATTGAAGTTGACAGCATGGAAATTTATAAGCTCCAAAAGTACGGAATTCAGGAGAATGGATTTTAATACCTGTTTTACATTTGCCAACATTTAATGTAATTATGACCTCTTTTCTAATGTGGAAATCAAACCTAGTATTTTTCTTTTTCATAAATTCTCGCAATCTGCTCCCTATCCCTGAACACTGATTTTTATCATGAATAATACTCGAGACCTGGAAGGAACGTGAGGGGTTCATCTGATCTTACGTAAATGTTGCCTAACTCTGCCTTTCTTTCCTCCTGTTGCATGAGACTTCCTTATCTGGTATCATCTCTCTTCTGTGAGTCAACAACCAAACCTAATCTCTGAGCTGCAACACTACCTTGATCTTAAAGAACCTGGAGATGCAGGGCCCATCAGTCTGCCAAAGCTCTGAGTGGTAGAGTCCATCACATTTGGTTTTTCAAGCTCTTGGCTACCCCAGCTCTTGGTGAATTGGACTTCTTGTCAGGCCCCATTCATTCTTCCCTACAGCTTACCTAATCCTATAATTTATAAGAAGTTCTTTGGTGGTACTAAGTTTAAACAGCAGGCCTAATTCCAATATACAGTGCCAGTTGTGTGGGCCTCTGCCTCATTTTCCAAGACGGCCGGTGATGGCACCACGAGTGCTTTCCCATATCTAATATGTCGGTGGATCTCTCATTCTGTCCTTAGAGGCACCCACTGCTGTGGTCAGATGGCTCAGCTCTGATGTATGTTACTTTAGGTTTCTCCAGAGGGACAGCCTACTTATAAATCTCAGGGCCTGCCCCTGCTCAGCTTCAGAACTGCATTTTGTTGATGACAGATTGATGTCATTGCATATTTCAGAATTTCTTTGCCATTATTTCTCAAACATTCTTCACCAGACTTTCACTTAGCATAAAAAGCATTTAATTGAAGGCCTCAAGTGTGGTAGTTCTTGGCATCATCAGCCCGTGAAAACTAATGTGATCTATTTAATAAACTCACTATTTGAGTGCCACCAAGAGGATGTGCTGTTTTCAGATAAAAGGGGCAATTCCCTGTGACCCTCCCTCTCCCCTGCCTTCACCCCTCTGGAGTCAGGGCAACTGGGGTGGGAAGGAGAGGATAATGGTTTCCACTGAAGAAAGTTTCATACATAAATGCTGACTGTGAAAAGCTGGCAGCATTATATATCTTGTCTCCTCACGTTTTCACGTGGGACCTGGCCTACTGTCCCCTTCATTTCCTGGGGAAAGGCCCGTGGTTCTGCAGTTTCCCTTTAGAGTAACCCAGTTATTTTAGTTTCTTCATTCCAACTACTCTTACCTTGAGCACATCCACTCTTTAAAAAAAAAAAAAAAAGATTTTTTATTTATTTGAAAGTCAGAGTTACACAGAGGAGAGGCAGAGAGAGAGAGAGAGGTCTTCCATCTGCTGATTCACTCCCCAGATAGCTGCAGTGGCTGGAGCTGCACCAATCCAAAGCCAGGAGCCAGGAGCTTCTGGGTCTCCTATGTGGGCACAGGAGCGCAGGGACTTGGGCCATCTTCCGCTGCTTTCCAGGCCATAGCAGAGAGCTAGATCGGAAGTGGAGCAGCCAGGTCTCGAACCAGAGCCCATATGAGATGCCAGCGCCCCAGGCCAGGGCGTTAATCCACTTCATCACAGCACCGGCCGCAAATGCATGCTTGATTTCACTTCTCAGGGAGGGGGAGAAGTGCTTTTTTATGTTTTAATGTAACTGTGACTATGAAAGTTTCCTTTGTTGATCGGATTCAGTTTTCACAGAAGTGGCATGTTTCAGTATTGCCCACAGCTCTCTGAAGGGAGTTGTAATGTGTCATTAAAGTGGCCTTCAATATTTCTAAATCCCATTATTATAATAAAGGAAAATTAAAATTTAAACAAATGACCTGGCAACTCAACTGTTAAGCCTTTGACTAACTGGAGAACACTTTAAAAATTTCCTGCAGGTTTTTCCTGCAGGGCTTGTGACATTGCTTGTCCTTAAGTATTTGAAAAGCTTCACCTTTCGGTGTGTATGGTAATGTCATCTTCCATGTCCAAATGGGCCTTTAGACTGGAATGCCAAGACAAGTTTTGAAAGTTAAGTCTGCTATTGAGAACGTCTACAGAATTGTAGCGCTTCTAATTCATGGAAAATCTTAATAGTCATGAAAATGTCATCACCAGTGAACAAATGATAATCCTCCCTAATTTCCCCTAGCCTTTAAGAAAGGCTTGTTGCTGTTGAAAGCTGCTGTATGGCCAAGTAGTGTAAGAAGTGGACCTACTTTTGCAGTGTATGAATTTGAGCAAATTCATAGAGCCTACCAAAGTGCACAGAAAAATATTTAAAAAAAAATACTGTGCTCTTATGAGCTTTAATATCCCTATCCTGCTACCATCTTTTCTGTTTAAATTGCAATACAATGGATTTTACCATTTCACCTGTCCAGTGGGTAGGGTTTTGTGGTCTTCAAGTATCTGTCTTTCTCTGCATCTTGCTTTATCTGTGCATTTTGCAGCCATGATTGAATCTTTCCCTCTGACTTAATGTCAGTTTTTACCCTGTCTTGGTGTTGTCAGTCCTGTTGGCAATTCATAAAGTCTCAGTAATTTTGGAAGTCTTTTTAATATAGGAGGTATTTCATATACTTCCCCAAATGACAGCCTTAAATCAGGAATCCAGTCTAATTAAGCCCAGCACACTTCCTGCAGTTTCGAGCCCGGTATGTTCACAGAGAGAACGAGGAGGTGACGAGACACTCCCTGATTCCTTGCCGCCCTCCCAGGCAGCCCTGGATCTCTGCACATTCCGTCTGGAAGGTTGCTTCTCCACAGTGATTGCGCATTACAGGAAGGTTTTCCTTCTTTGTTTCTCAGACCTGGTCCTGTAGACGGGAAGGCGCCTGGACACAGTGACACATTCTCAAAGGCCCTGCAGGACCGCCATGGCTTATGATGACTCCGTGAAGAAAGAAGGTATGACCCCTTAACCTGAGAAGCATTCCAAAGCGGGTGTCCTCTTCAGTCCCTGCAGCCCGTGGATCTAGAGCCTGCCGAGTGACAGTCCAGAGCACTGTTAGGACACTCGGCCTCCACGTCATCCCCAACCGGGCCCAAGGAAACGAAAACCAAGGCAGGGCTTCCAGCCGCAGAGTCTGAATCCGAGTCTCAGTTCACTGGGGCGAGCCCCTGCAGCACTCTTGGTCCTTGCCAGCTCCAGTGTGCAGGAGTCTGGGATAGGAATCACACGCTGGACTCCCGCAGCGCAGCGCAGCACAGCACATGAATCCTTACCCTGTCAGCCTTACCTCTGCAGTCTGTCCACCTGCCATGTCGTAGCTGAGAACCCAGGTCTGAGGGTGCACCGGGGCCTTTGCGTGGCATGGAAGTGTTGTATCTTCAGGTTTGGTTCTTGGGTTTGCAGCCAGGTCATCAAGAAATACTGTTTGTCCACCGGGTCTAGCCCTGCGTTCCAGGGGACTCTGTGTGACATTCTTTTCATATGAAAATAAAGGGACCATTGCATCACAAGCGTGGTAACTTGCTGGCTACTTATTTGACTCTCTGTTTCCTTTCCCACATGAACCTGTGCCTCTCAGATTGCTTCGATGGTGACCACAGCTTTGAGGACATAGGACTCGCAGCCGGCCGAAGCCAACGAGAAAAGAAACGCTCTTACAAAGACTTCTTAAGGGAAGAGGAGGAAATCGCTGCTCAGGTCAGGAATTCTTCCAAGAAGAAGTTAAAGGTAGGTGCTAAACATGGACTTAGGGGAGCTTTAAACTACTTCTTGACCATATTTCCTAATATTGGAAGAGGGAAGTGTCTTTTGAAAACTTTAGAAAAGAAAAATAAAGAGGCCGGCGCTGTGGCTCACTTGGTTAACCCTCTGCCTGTGGCGCCAGCTTCCCATGTGGGTGCCGGGTTCTAGTCCCGGTTGCTCCTCTTCCAGTCCAGCTCTCTGCTGTGGCCCAGGAAGGCAGTGGAGGATGGCCCAAGTGCTTGGGCCCCTGCACCTGCATGGGAGACCGGGAGGAGGCACCTGGCTCCTGGCTTTGGATCGGTGCAGCGCCAGCCATGGCAGCCATTTGGGGGGTGAACCATGGAAGGAAGACCTTTCTCTCTGTCTCTCTCTCTCATTGCATAACTCTACCTGTCAAATAAATTTTAAAAAAGAAAAGAAAAAGAATGTTCACGCCTATTATTATTTCCTGTATTTTTTTCCCCAAAGTCAAAGATCATTCAAGGACAAGAGTAGTTCCAAACTGTGCTTGCCTCCTCGTCTTCCCAGTGGTCAGCTCTTCCTCCTTCCTTTCAGGACAGCGAACTCTACTTCTTGGGGACGGACACGCACAAGAAGAAGAGGAAGCACTCTGATGACTACTACTATGGAGGTAAGGATGGGGAAGGGCAGCAGGTGGGATGCGCACATCACCGGTTCTTGGAGTCGGGGTAGGGGATGAGGGATCCAGATGTTGCTGACTCAGTGGCCTATTTAACAGGACAGTGGTTCTTGTTCTGAGTGCCGATAAACCAGTGTGAAGGAGGAGAGAGGTGGAGGGCTGGTATTTTGGAGGATTCAGCATAGAAGAACAGTCTTCATTTGTGATACACCAGGTACCAGGTCCCTTCTCCCCCCAATCATCCACTTATCTTGTGCCCATTGTTATCTAGCATCCCTTTTGTCATTTGTAGTCCTTGGACCCTCTGGCCTGCACCTGGGGTCACCTCTCAACCAGTGTGTATCCACTCACAAAACCACTTTTCTTAGCTATGGTATAAGCATAGCTGACAAGACTAACCTTTTACCAGAGTGGGTTTGTCCTGAACGCAGAAACAGATACTATACTCTGCCTGTAACCTAATCTAAATTGTAACTACCCTTAATCCCACAGCTGTAGTCCAACTTCTGGCTATGTTCTCATTGGTTTCTCGTGAAGACTCAGTGAAGACAAACGACTTTAGTGGCAAGAACTGTCTCCAGGGTCAGAGGCAGACTCTACCAAGCCAAGAAGCACCTGGGCCTCATCTCTGAATGTTAGGAATCAGTTAAGGGGTCTCCCGCAAATCATTCTGTTAGCCTCTTCTGCGTGTTAGCTGGCTGCTTTTGGTGAAAGAGGACGCTTGTTAGAAGTTGCTTCCTGTCATATTGACAGCACTTCTCTTGATTATTTCCAGACATTCCGTCTTTGGAATCGTCACAGAAGAAAAAGAAAAAGTCCAGCCCGCAGTCTGCCGATAGCGCCATGGACCTGCTGAAAGCTATAACTTCCCCACTGGCGGCAGGCTCCAAGCCCTCCAAAAAGTCAGGGGAGAAATCTTCCAGCTCTTCCAGTCACTCGGAGAGCAAAAAGGAACACCATAGGAAGAAATTCAGTGGGAGCAGTGGGGAGCTGTCCCTGGAAGATGGGGGCTCCCACAAACCCAAAAAGATGAAGCCCCTCTATGTGAACACAGAGACACTGACCCTTCGAGAGCCTGACGGTCTGAAGATGAAACTCATCCTCTCACCAAAGGAGAAGGGAAGCAGCTCAGTTGACGAGGAGTCTTTTCAGTACCCCTCTCAACACGCAACTGTGAAAAAACCCTCTAAGAAGTCAGCTCGGGACGAGCAAGGTGCTTTACTCCTGGGACACGAGTTACAGAGTTTTCTGAAGACGGCCCGGAAGAAGCACAAGTCCTCCTCGGACCCGCATTCATCTCCCGGCCCGGAAGGCTGTGGCTCGGATGCCTCCCAGTTCCCAGAATCCCACAGTGCTAATCTGGATCTTTCGGGGCTTGAACCTATTCTGGTAGAATCAGACTCCTCCTCTGGTGGGGAGCTAGAGGCCGGGGAGTTGGTGATAGATGATTCTTACCGGGAAGTCAAGAAGAAAAAGAAGTCCAAGAAGAGCAAAAAGAAGAAGGACAAGGAGAAGCACAGGGAGAAGCGTCACTCCAAGTCCAGGAGGAGCTCGGGACTCCCGGCTGCCGTGGTGGGCGAGGTCCCTGTGGCGCCTGGCCCTCCTCCCAGCACCCCGTACCCCGCAGCTGCTGCCACACCCCCACCACTTCCTGGCCTCCACACGGACGGGCATAGTGAGAAAAAAAAGAAAAGAGAAGAGAAGGAGAGAGAAAGGGAGAGAGGAGAAAAGGTAAAACGTTTTACAGCGTGCTGGGCGGCCAGGGTAAGGCAGGTCCTCCTGGGTGGTGAGAGGCCGAGGGGAAGCGCGGGCGTGTCGCAGGGTCGGGAGAACCTGTCGGAAGGATAAAGGGCGTGAAGCAGTGCCATGGCACAGAAGCAGGAGCAGTCCTGAGTACTCATGGGTCGTGATGGAGTTAATCTCCCATCGTGCTGTGCGTGGCTGTAGGAATGGTTCTAGAATCCATCAAAGGCATTTCAGTTTCCAGTTTTCTTTCCCGTCCAGCACTGTCTCGCCATGGCAGTTGAGAGGTGGGAAAAGGTATTCTTTTAGTTCATTTTGAAAAATAGGTGGGCAAAATTAGAATGAGCTAATGGCTTTCCACTAACTGATGTTGGCTACTTTCTAGTACTCTTTTTAATGCTAAATGTGTTCTTTCACCATTTGAGCGCTACTGTGTGCCAAGGTCAGTGTTACAGATGGTGCCAAAAGATGGAAAGATGAACAGGATGTAGGGAGATAGGAATAATAACTCAATCACCTCCTTTTGATTTCTTTCTCAAAACTCGAGAAACTTTCTAACAGTTGTTCCTTGGGCCTCATGATTGTGTTCTTTAGGTTTCCTTTAAAGCAAATTACACTTTTTGTCCCTGTTATCAGAATGACATTTTTGTAGAAATTTTTAAACTCAGAATAGCAGAAAAGAATCACAATTTTGCAACCTAAAGACAGCTATTCTCTCCCTCTGTTTATAGTTCTACAAAATGAAGTTTGAGGTAGATCTGAAAGAAAAGCTACTAAGGAGAAGAAAATCAAATGTATTAAGAACATGAGAATGGGAATTCTGTTTCCATCTGTGAGGTGCAAGTTATTTTTCCCATTACACAAGGTGTCTGAGGCAAAAATCAATGTGAACTTAAAGACCTGGACATTTAAATATTAAGAGTGTATTCACTTGTTTATTTGAACATTTCTTCATGATGGTATATGTTCTATGTAAAACTCTTTATCCTAAGACTGTCATCCTGGTCATTATATAATAATGCCATGAAGTCATCACACAGCACTGACCGTGAGAGGACAGGTGGTCAGGGAACACACGAGGAGGAAGGACGTGAGTGGAAGAGAACATGTGGAGCAGAAGGATGTCTGGGAAGTGGCGTAGAAAAGTGGCTGAACCCTGGTCCTGTGTTTCCAGGTGGCGTAGAAAAGTGGCTGAACCCTGGTCCAGTGTTTCCAGCCACCTGGTGAATGCTCTGTTTGGGTGCCTCGGGCACTTCAAACCTTTGTGTCACAAATTGAGCTCATCATCAGGGCCCCAAACCCACATCTGTTCCTCAGTCTCTTTCTCTACTCCCCCAAATTCGATACTGTATGCTCTTTTTCTCAGCATTTTATTATGGGATTTTTCAAACAAAAAGAAGGTTTGAAAAAGGAGTCTAAGTTATTATTTTATTGTTCGCTTGGTCATATTTCTATCCATCCATGAGTTCATATGACTTTTTTTTTTAAGATTTATTTATTTATTCTAAAGACAGAGTTGCAGAGACAGAGAGAGAGAGAGGAGTCTTCCATCCTCTGGTTCACACCCCAGATGGCCACAGTGGCCGGAGCTGAGCAAATCCAAAGCCAGGAGCCAGGAGATTCTTCTGGTCTCCACACGGGTGCAGGGGCCCAAGGACTTGGGCCATCTTCCACTGCTTTCCCAGGCCACAGCAGAGAGCTAGATTGGAAGAGGAGCAGCTGGGACTCGAACCAGCACCCGAATGAGATGCCAGCACTGCAGGTGGTGGCTTTATCTGCTACACCACAGCACCGGCCCCTCATATGACTTTTTTAAAAATGTGTTTCAAAATAAGTTACACTTACTTCACCCCTAAACACTTTAACTTACATGTCATTAACTGGAGTTTAATATTTGTTTTCAGGAATTATTTAAATAAAATTTACATATAGTGAAATGCATAGATACTAAGTGTATCATTTGATAAGTTAGGTTTTTTGTTTTGTTTTGTTTTGTTTTTAACTTGAGAGTCTGAGAAAGAGCTCCAAACCACTTCAGTTTCCATATGCCCACAACAGCCAGGGGTCTGAAGCCAGGAGCCAGAGATTCAAAGTAAGTTTCCCATGTTGGTGGCAAGAACCCAAGTACTCAAGTGATCACTGGTGCTTACCAGAGTCTGCACTGGCAGGAAGTTGGGTTAGGAGCTAGAAACCCAGTATACTGATGTGGGATGTGGGATGCAGGGTCTTAACCCCTAGGCTAAATGCCATTGCCCCATTTGATGAGTGCCTGTGTGACCAAACCTTTGTCGTGATACAGACATCAGGGTGGGTGTTTGGCATAGCAGAGGAGACATGGGCCCTGGATGACGAACAGTTAGTGACACAAGGCTTAGAGATAGCCAAGGCATCCAAACAAATACTCACCAGGCAGCTGGAAATACAGGACCAGGGTTCAGTTAATTGTTTGCAGTACTTCCACTGTGACATCTGCATTGTGGATTTGAGTGCCTGCTCTGCTCTGGATCCCAGCTTCCTACTGAGGTACACCTTGGGAAGCAGCAGGGGACGATTCAGGTACTCGGGCCCCTGCCACCCACTGCCACCCACGTGGGAGATTGGAATTGAATTCCTCTCCTGGCTTGTGCTTGGCCCAGCCCCAGCTATCGTGGCCGTTTGTGGCATGAACCAGTGGATGAGAGAGATCTCTCTCTATCTTTCTCTCTCTCTCAGATAAGATAAATAAATAAAAATTATATGTAAAAAAAAAGATAATGATATTACCATGATCCAGAAAGCTCTCTCATAATACTTTCCAGTCAAATCCCTCCCCTAGAACCATCCAGTATTCAATGTTTTTTCCAGCCACTGCCACTATCTTGGTCCTCATTCCTCCATAGACATAATGTCGTAAATGGCTTCCTTTCCATGTCTTCCATCATGCAATTAATCTTACGTGTTGATTCCTGAATGATTTAAGTACCACTTTGAGGGTGACAGCCCTCTTCACCACCTCCAGAGGTCCTTACTGCCTCTATGTTATTAGACAGTATGCTCTAAGGGAACTGGGTCCCTGCTGCTTAACCCAATGATCTGGCCAGTTGTAGTTAGTCAGTAAGTACTTGTTGGTTGAGTAAATATCAAGATCCGAGCCATGGCCAGGTATTCATAATTGTCTGAATTTAGCCCCAGACCTCCCCTTTCAGCTCCACCTCATATGCTTCTGCTTTGTTTGCAGACTGTGTGTAAACCAAACTTGCTCCTCTCATCATTACCACCCTTCCCTTGCTTAATCTTTGTAGTGGACCTCCCCTTCTCACACACTCTTACCTGTGCTTTATGACTGGACCAAGGGGCTGGTGCTGTGGCTTAGGTTAAACCTCATCCTGTAGTCCTGGCATCCCGGATGGGTGCCAGTTCAAGTCCCAGTTGCTCTACTTCGATGCAGCCCCCTGCTAATGCACCTGGGAAAGCAATGGAAGGTTCCCCAAGTCCCTGGGCCCATTAACCCATGTGGGAGACCCAGAAGAAGCTCCTGGCATCAACCTGGCACAGCCCTAGCTGTTGCAGTCATTTGGGGGAATAAACCAGTGGATGGGAGATCTCTGTCTCTCTCTCTCTTTTTAAATTTTTATTTATTTTTATAATTTTTTTTTTAATTTGAAAGAGTTACATAGAGAGCTTCCATCCACTGGTTCACTCCCCAAATGGCAGAGCTGGGAGCCAGAAGCTTCTTCCGGGTCTCTCATGTGGATGCAGGGGCCCAAACACTTAGGCCAACTTATGTTGCTTTCCCAGATTTATTAGCAGGGAGCTGGATCAGAAATGGAGCAGCCAGACTGAAACCGGTGCCCATATGGGATGCTGGCCTTACAGGCAGTGGTTCTATCTGCTATACCACAGCACCAGCGCCTGTAGAGAATCTTGAATGCCAAGATAAGGGACTTTGTAGTGGGCACTTTGAGTTTATGAGCAAGGTTTCAGTATAATTTAAATAATAAAAATAAGGGACTTGGTAGTGGGTACTTTGTGGTTTATAAGTAAGGCTTCAATGCAGTCCAAGTAATAATTTAAGAATAAAATGAGGGGCCGGCACTGTGGCGCAGCAGGTTAAAGCCCTGGCCTGAAGTGCCTGCATCCCATATGGGCACCGGTTATAGTCCCTGCTGCTCTACTTCTAATCCAGCTCTCTGCTATGGCCTGGGAAAGCAGTAGAAGATGGCCCAAGTCCCTGGGCCCCTGCACCCACATGGGAGACCCGGAAGAAGCTCCTGGCTCCTGGCTTCAGATTGGTGCAGCTCTGGCCGCTGTTGCCATCTGGGGAGTGAACCAGTGGGTGGAAGACCTCTCTCTCTGTCTCTACCTCTCTCTGCATCTCTATCTTAAATAAATGTTAAATAAAATAAATCTTTAAAAAAATAAAATAAAATGATAGAGGTGTACAAGGTGAATTAGAGTGAGGAGAGACTCATTTGACAAACTACTCAGGAAGTCAGTAATAGAAGCCTAAAATAAAGCTGAAGAGACCGATTCAGGAAAAACTGAAAGAAAAACAGACTTTTGGCAACTGGCTTCCACGTGGGAAGCCAAAGTGAGTATAGGGATGTCCCTTACTGTGTTGAAAGAGGGTACCTTAGGGACAGCATCATTTTTTTTTATATGATTTATTTTATTTATTTGGAAGAGTTACAGAGAGAGGGAGAGACAGAGAGAGAGGTCTTCCATTCACTGGTTCCCCAGATGGCTGCAACGGCTGGAGCTGCACCCATCTGAAACCAGGAGCCAGGAGCTTCTTCCAGGTCCCCACATGGGTGCAGGGACACAAGGACTTGGGCCATCTTCTACTGCTTTCCCAGGCCAGAGCAGCTGGGACTAGAACCGGTGCCCATATGGGATGCTGGCACTGCAGGTAGCAGCTTTACCTGCTATGCCACCATGCTGGCCCCCATACTTTTGAATTTAAGCATTTTTGGGTTTTTTGTTTGTTTGTTTGTTTGTTTTTGGCTTGT